AAATCAACACAAAGTTGGGAGGAGTGAACCGCATCTTAGAGGCACTGCCGGACAAACCGGAAGTCCTACGCAAACCCAATTGGCGGGTAATGATTATCGGCGCCGACGTCACACACCCGGCGCCCGCAGACAAGTTGGAGACATCGGTGGCCGCCTGTATCGGCTCCATAGACGCCGATCACTGCAAGTACTCGGCGTCTATTAGGGCTCAGGAGAGGTCTACCAAAGCACAGGCCGTGGAGATGATAATGGACTTCGAGGGCATGATTAAGGAACTGCTGGATGAGTACCGCAAAGCGCAGGGAGCTCTGCCCAACCATATCATCTATTATAGGTTTGCATTGGTTTTGACATTCGCTGTGAATCTGTCACTCATTTAATTACCGCTAAATTGACGCCATTTTTACGGCCAACACAGGGATGGGGTGTCGGAGTCCCAGTTCGAGCAGGTGTTGGACTACGAGCTCCAGAAGCTTCGCGACGCGTGTCTGGCCAAAGGGATTACGGCACCCAAACTGACGTTCATTACGGTCCAGAAGCGACACCACACGCGCTTTCGTCCCGAGAACCCCCAGCGCGGTATGGGCCCCAAGAATAACATACCGCCCGGCACTGTAGTGGACAGTCACGTCGTGCACCCGACCGACTTTGACTTCTACCTGTGCTCTCATGTGGGCATTCAGGTAGGCGTTGGTGTAGTGTTTAATTATTCAGATTTGTAATATACTGTTCCCTTTCCCGATGACTATAGGGTACGTTCCGTCCCTCGCATTACTACGTACTGCACGACGACTACCGCTTTAGCGCCGATGAGCTCCAGAAGCTCTCGTACTACCTGTGCTACCTATACGCCAGGTGCGATACGCCGATCAGCATACCGGCACCCGTAATGTACGCTCATTTGCTGGCAACCCGTGGCCGCGAATACATCGTCGAACACCTACAGAGCGGTGCTGTCGGTGGTGGTGGTGGCGATCGGCGCTCCCGTCCCCCTCGGGATGAGACTGAGGCTCAGCGTAAGGCCCGTGAGATCCAGTTGGCCCAGCAGTTGAATGTACTGATCAAAGTGGACCCGGCCATCAGAAACGGGATGTTTTTCTGTTAAGGGGAACGGGATGTTGAGGGTGTATGGGCTGAATTATACTATGCTTTGGAAACGGATTGTCTTTTTTGTTGAATAATTTTTTTTTCTCGCATTCAATATATGCTCACAAATACTGTGTTCACAGACTGTGTTAGCGATTTCAGTGATGGCCAGACCCTAAAAGTTGGCCCGTTTTTGTATGTGTGTGGGGACAGGCTGTTAGGGAACTGTAGCTTTTATTGTGTTGTGTTTTTTATGGTAATATTGTATTTTTTGCCCCCAATTATGGGGTTTTTTCGTATATTACTCATGAGCTTTACTAATAGGGGGTATAAGACCCCCGCACAATACCTGTCCCCCTCTGGCCATCACTGGCTTTATTTATATTTAGTATACATTTATATTATATAACTTTTTGCCAATTATTCAAATCGTTTTGATATGATTTGTATCGATATTACCGGTATAACCGACAAGTCATTAGTTTTTCGCACCAAATACTCCATACATTTGAACAAAACTTATTTGAAATGTAGTTCTCATGTGATTAGCGAGAATTGGATGAGTATTTTGCGTGAAAAACACGTGTTTTATATGACATTATGTTATCCGATATATCACATAAACCCGCTTATAATGAACGCACTTATAGTGTATGACTTGTAATCTCTATGTTATAATCATTTCGATAATCAATTGTTTTATTAATCACAATATAATCTCTATAATTATTATGCAAACTATTAATGTGTCTATTATTTGGTGTAGTTTTGTGTTGAGTATAAGCGGGCTTATTTGAAATACACTGTTCACTATATATATATTATATTATATTATATATTATATATTATATTATATTATATTATATTATATATTATATTATATTATATTATATATTATATTATATTATATATTATA